TTTATTTTATTAATTTAAATTTTTAATTTATAGTTTTACTATAATTAAAAATTCTTATAAAAAGTCACATCTAATTTTTTTGTTATAATTAAAAGCTCTCACATAAAATCACATTTTAACTCGAATTGAAAACTCAAATTAGCGAACTGAACGAAGCTTTAATGATTTAAGACTTTAATAAATCAGCTTTGAACTTGTACACATGTTGAATAATTAGGGCATGTTCTTTTGACATTTTTGAGTTATGTAATTTGAGTGTAGATTTTGAGTTGAGTTTAAGTGATAACTTGAGTTGAAATTGTAACTTGAGTTTATGTACATTTGAGTTATGACTTGAGATAAGAATCTTTTTGAGTTTGTGTTTGAGTAAGTCAAAACTTGAATTTGTATTTAGATAGTATTTTAATAAAAACTCAATGCTGATGAAAAATTTTAATAGGGTATATGGGTCTAGTTTTATTTGTCTTTTCGTTGTCAACGCATAGAAAAAAAATCATCTCAATCAGAATTAAAACGAAAAAGTTATAGTATTTTTAAGAATAGAAAAAATAATCTCGTTCATTTCGCTGATTCGAGTTTAGAATTCGAGTTTTGCTACAGTAAAAAGCTCTTAGAAACAGTCACATCTAACTTTTTTGTTACAGTAAAAAGCTCTCACACAACATCACATCTCAACTCGAATTAAAAACTCGAATTAGCGAACCGAACGGGCCCAATATTGTTCATTAACTTGAGTTCGAGTTTCTGAACTCGAGTTGAAGGGGAAACTTGAACTCGAGTTTTAGTCCCAAACTCGAGTTCAAAGAACATGAACTCGAATAAAGTTGTAACTTGAGTTACTTTTTTTGAGTTTTTCACTCAAAAACATAGGGGCTGTTCTTTTGATAACAAAACTCAAAAAAATGCAACTCGAGTTACAACTTTATTCGAGTTCATGGTCAATTAAGTTTGAACTCAAATTTAAACTCGAGTTTGAACTCGAGTTTGAGACTAAGGCCTCGTTCATTTCACCGATTTGAGTTTTCAATTTTAAGTTTCTACAATAAAAAGCTCTCAAAAAATGGCAGATCTAACTTTTTTTGCTACAGTGAAAAACTCTCAGAAAATGTCACATCTCAGCTCGAATTGAAAACTCGAATCCGTGAAGTGAACAAGGCCCGAGTTCAAGTTTCTCCTTCAACTCGAGTTCAGAAACTCGAACTCAAATTAATGAACAGTATTTTTCTATTCTTAAAAATGCTATAACTTTTTCGTTTTAATTCTGATTAAGATGATTTTTTTTTCTATGCGTTGACAACGAAAAGACGAATAAAACCCCACCCATATACCCTATTAAAATTTCCCACCAATATTGAGTTTTTATTAAAATACTATCTAAATACAAATTTAAGTTTTAACTCACTCAAACACAAACTCAAAAAGATCTTATCTCAAACCATAACTCAAATGTACACAACCAAATACAAACTCAAGTTACAACTTTAACTCAAATTATAACTCAAATTCAACTCAAGAATTATACTGAAATTAAACTCTAAAAAAACAAGTCCATAATTGCCGAACAGGCCCATAGTTTTGGCACAAAACTGTTAGGTTTTTTTCTTAAAAATGGGAGAGTGAACCTTTTCCTCAAGTAAATAGAAACTGAGCCACTGTAATGCTTCTTTGAGAAACGTATGTCCTTGTACTATTTTTACGAAAATATTTACATTATCCAATCGTATTGATACAAAATTTTAGAATATTACAAATGGGATTACATAAATATTACGTATATTAACTTTATAATAATGTTAGCAACACGGACTAAAGTTTTTAATTCTTTGTGTACTATGCGATATGTGAATTATCATTTTTATATTAATTGATGTTTAAAATATTGACACATTAATTAATAATAAGAGATTATATCTAATAATAAAAAAATAATAACTCACATCCACATTAATTTTTAGTCTACAAGAGTTAAAATTTACCATGGTGTCTTTAACATTACTCTTAACTTTATTCATATTATTTTTTTATCTCGTTAAATCTTGACCGCATCACAAAATAAAAAAATAAAAAATAAAAAATAAAACCGCACTTTACACGACCGACCTTTTCTAATGGCACTGTTGCACAAGAGCGGGCACATTAGCTAATATAATTGAATAACCGATCAATCCAATTCAATCCTCCTAGAATAAGATAAATTAAGAAAATAAAAACTGAATTGGATCAACCACTGCACTCCAATCTAAGGTGTAATATCAAATACATATATATTCCAATTTTTAATAGTTATATTTACATCTATATCTATTATTATTATTAAATATAATAAATTAATAATGTGTCGTGATAAGAGTTTAGTCTAATTAATTATTATAAATTTTTTTAATTAACTATTTAATTTATTACAACCGTCAAATTTATATATTGCAGTTAAAATAATGATACTTATTGATTGCTAACTATTAAAGTAACTATTAAAAACATAGATATGTGTGTTGGGTTTGTTTATATATACGTATGTATATGTATTGTGTAAATATATATACATATATGTATAAATTATATACATTTCATTCGGTCAATTATTTTGTTTTCATAAAAAATTTTAAAGAGATATTTTCAAAAATACTTATGTCAAAAATTTTACTTGTGTCAAAAATATTTATTATGTACCACCATACACAATCAATTTGAAGTTTCCTTTAAAAAAAATCAATTTGAAGTTGAAAATACTAGCTCGTTTAGTTCATAAATTTAAATAGAACATTTGACTATAAATTCAATTTTTTTATAAAATAAAATATTGTAGCAAAAAGGTTCGAGTTATAGTTTAAAATCTTTTAATCATTTTTATTCTTTGCATCTTTTTTGCCTTTTCACACTTCTTTTCATATTTGACTTACATATGTTGTGTTGTTCCCAAACTTAACGAAAATTCAATATAACATTGGATTGGATTGGACATGGTGAAAAGTGTAATTGAATTGAATGCTAATTTATCAAGCGTTAAACAATTTTGAATCCTAATCGTTGAAATTTGAACTTATTTTGTTAGATAAGACCCATAATAAAAATATTTGGTGATCAATATGGTATGCAAAAGAAGAATTATATGGTTTTAATAAAATTCAAGGCACCTTAAAATTAAGGATGACAGTGGAGCGGGGGAGGGAGATGATTTCTCGTCCCATCCCCCCCCTCTCAAAACCATTCCCATCCCCGCTTCCATCTTTGCTTAAGAGAGGTGGAGTCGGGGTTAAGAATTCCTCATTAAAGGAGCATTCCTCATACCGGTCTCATTCCATTTATTATAAGAATGGCTTTTAAAATTATAGCAATGTCAAACAAAAATAAAGTAAAAATCCACTATAAATTTAAACCATAATCAGAGGTTGAACAAAACAAACATAATTCTAAAGGCATACATGAGAAATCTTAATAATAATGGCCCAAAAAATTAATTGTTTTAGAAATTTAACATTGTTTATACTTATTTATAATATATATGAATATCGGAATGAACACGCTCCACTACGTTTCGGCAACAAGATTTTATCCTCATTCCTGCCTCCATCCTCAATTACTCTTCCTCATCCCCACTCTTTTTCAGAGTGGATCTTCATAGGTCCCATTCCATGAAAAATATTGGCTGCGTTTAGAACTCATTTCAAAATGATTTTTTGTTTTTTGTATGAAAAAAGAAATGAAAACGTTTTCGATCTCAGACAGAAATCATTTTTGAAAATGCGTTTGGTAGTTTTATCAATAGATTATTTTCAGTATAAAAAAAAAACTCATTAATGTTTCTCTCTCAGCTCGAGAGAGGAGAAAACGAAAATAAAAAATGAAAAACGATTAAAAGTCATTTTTCATTTCTCTCCCATTTTACACTAAACTAAAAAATCGTTTTCATTTCCGTTTTTTGTCTTTAATTGTCTCAAACGCCCTTTTAAAATCGTTTTCACACTTTCTTTATAAAAAAACAAGAACAATTCCTAACACAGCAATTGTCATCTCTGTTTGTGTGGTTTTTCAAACATCAGCTTTTGGCGGTCAGTCTTCCCCTTCTCCGTCGTCTTCTGCTCACTCTTTTGGCGGTGGGCGCCGGGGGTTGTCCTGCAAAGGACACTCCGACGCTTAAATCAAAAAAATATCCAAAGGATCTAGAATGAAAGGAAAAGACAAAGAAAAAAAATAGAAGAATATCTCTTTTTCTATCTGATTCTATAGGGATCATCCCTCTTTCTCATTCTCGTCATTTTCTATTTATATAATATTTTGTTATGATCAAATAAATATTCTCAATTCATTCTAATCATGAAACGTCGTCATTCTTTTCCCTCTAGGAGTTCTCCTGAAACATTCCCTCCTTAGAAAGTCCTTGGAAGTTTTCTCCTTCAGGAAAAGGTCGCTTTCCATTCCGTTATTTTCTTTACACGCATTCCATTCAGGTTGGACACATTAATTAGAGGGTGGATGGACATGTGTCAATATACAGAGATTCTCTCTGACACAAGTCGTTCCCACCACTCCCTCGATCTCAATCTATCTCGATCTCACTGCGTTAGAGTATTTTGTCGACCGTGGTCTCGGTCTTGGTCTTACTACCCCGATTGAGGTTGTATCCTCCCTCGATCGAGATAGGTTTCGATCTAAGGTTCGGTCAATGGATCGGTTTGGATCTTGGTTTCCCGTTTCTGGTCAGTTCGTGACAAGTGTCGTGATCTCAGGGTTTTTGAGAAAATCTCCCACCAATCTCCGCTCAAAAGTTTGTACAAGAGTTTCACTTCATTTTTTAAAATTTTAGGTAAAATAAGCTTCATTTTTGTTTCTGCTCTAAGGTAAATATTAAACAAGCTTCATTAAGGGGGAAAAGAAAAAGTTTTTACGAGAGTTTCATATTTGGGGCCGGGCTAATTACTTATTGCACTAATTGGGCACACATCTGTAATAAAAGAAAGTTTGTAGGAAAAAACTGTAAAAACCTAAACCATGGCGGCCAAAAGCAAATAAAATTTGTCCAAAAATTTTCGTTGAAGTCCTCTCCGTTCTCTGCTAAAACTTCTTTGGGTTAGGGTTTAGCCACTTCGTCGTATACAGCAAACCCTAGAGAAATGTCGAAGAAGAATAATCTTGCTAAAAGGAAAAGACAGCACGAATTCGAACTCCAAAGTAAAATTCTTTCCTCAATCTCTCTATCTCTTCATGTAATTATTTTGTTATTCTTGTATTGTCTCTTATGAATTTGTGCTTATGATCAATCTTTGATTTTTCTAGGGGAGAAAGAAGAAAAAGAAAAGAAGGCAAAGAAGCTTCAAGCTAAGAAGAATAAGATGAAAGTAAGTCCCATTCTTTAGATTTATTTAATTTTTTCTTTTTCTTTTTTGCCATTCCAATTATTTTTATTTTTCTTTTGTTGATTTATGAAGGTTTTCAATTCCGAAAAGGGTTTTTTTGTTTGTTTGTTTTAATCTCAAAAGTTTTCTTTGTCTTTGATTAACTCAAGTGTAAGAAAAAGTTTAACCTTTGGGTGCAATGAATGGAAAATTGTTAACTTGTTCATTTGCTATCTAGAATTGGGTTGTTCAAATGTTAATGGAAGATAATCTAGGAACTTATTTGGTTCACGTTCAAGTCAGTGATTTTGATTCATTGGTGAGAATTGTGAGAGAACCGTTAGTGGGAAAATTTTGAATTCAAATTCTTTGTGAGAGGAAAGCACTGTAGCATAATTAGAATTATGGATTTAAATAGTTTAAATACATTTGCCAAATGGGCCCTAGATAATTCTTATGCTTATATTTTTGGTCAAATATGCGTTTCAAATAGACTTAGCAATTTTCGTTGGCTAATTGTGAAAAAACAGGTTGATGGGAGTGGCAGGAAGAAGAGTAGAAGTGGGTTTCAGGTTGGGAAGAGGAAAGTGAAGACCAAGTTGACTGCATTGGCAAAAGCCAAAGCTGAACAGGCCATGGAGGTTGACAAATGAGGTTTGATTCCGGAAGTTTCGGTTTAATGTATGATAGGCAGTGGAAGAAAAAGGCTCCGTACTTCGCTATTTCATTTGTAATTTAGATGTTGAAAATCTTTAATATTCTGTTCAGTAGAGCACAATTTTTTTTTCCCCTCTCTTTTGATGGAAAAGTTTGAAATCTGCTGATCTTTTATTTTTCTGAAGCATGTCGTTTCAGTTATCTTGCAGTGAACATTTAGTCCAATGCCCTGAAACTAGAATATTTCTGTACACTCTCTTTTCTCGCCAACTAACCACTGCGAAATTCAAGTTTTGTTCTCACTTTGGTTTGGAATGAAGTTGATACATGTATAGAATTAACTGCTGGAAAATTGTAGAAAAAAGTTTGATAGAAATGAAAAAGTCTTGAATCTAAAGCTGTGTGAATAAAAAAGGTCGGAAAATGTGTGTTTTGTATCTTTTGTAATTGATTGAAACTAGAGAGGGCCATATCATAAAATCGAATAACAGCAATAGTAATGAAATAACATTACCAAATTGTGCTCTAATTACAAGTTTCTGCGCAAATTAACATCTACGTTGTTCATTAGTGTAAGTGCAGACCAAAGGTTTGCGTAGGTTGGATAACTAGAAGCAGTATGTCATATGTCATTGGCAGTTCGGTGAGCAGTTAGCTTCCGAGTATCAGAGACAGGCCCGTTCATTTCACCAATTCGAGTTTTATTACAGTAAAAAGCTCTAAAAAACAGTCAAATCTAACTTTTTTACTACAGTAAAAAACTCTTACATAAAGTCACATCTAAATTCAAATTAAAAACTCGAATTAACGAACTAAACAGGCCCACATATGATTTGTGTTTCCATCCAAAACTCATGCTATAAGATTTATTTAGTGTGCCAAAACTCATGCTGCAAAGATTGCTTATACATGGCATGCTTTCAACAGCAGTGAAGGTGATGAGAGCTAAGAGTTCCTCGTATGCTTGCTTTCATGTTAGAAGATTAGTTGCTCATTGCTTCCTTCACTTATGATGAAAGCCAGTATCAGGTTCTTACAATTCCTTTTGCATTATGTGCTAGGATAGTACTTCTATTCCCAGATTCTGCATATTATTATTGGACCTTGGATCATGCATCTGCATATTAACTGCTCAATTTCTTGAACTCTTGGAGTACAATATGCACTAGGGTGAGTGAGATTAACACTTTTAGAGAGTTGGTAATATATCATTTATGTAGAAAGATTTAAGCCTAAAGGATGAATAACTAGATTTCATGAGTGGTACCGGGCCTAATTTACACCGTGGCACTATATGCCCCAAGGGCTTGTGTAGGCAACATATAGGCTTAGTTTGGTAGTGCTGTAGATTTTAAAAAAATTATTTTTAACTGTGCTGAAGGAAGAAGTAGTTTTTACAAAAAGTAGTTGAGTGTTTGGTAAACTATAATTATAGTAGTTGTGATAGTTTCAAAATCAATGTAATAGCGTTTGGTAAATTATGAGGTTGAATTGCTGTTAATAGTTAAAAATTACAATTATATTATATTATACTATAATATAATATATATAATTACAATATAATATATATTTATTATTATATAATATATTATATAATTATGATATTATTTGTTACAATATTACTATTATATTATATTACGAGTTTGAATTTTAGACCGGAAAGATTGTAAATTTTAAATTTCATTAGGGGTATTATGAAAGTTTTATTAATTGTATTATGTTGATTCCCGCACAATCTAAAAGTTAAAGTTGTCTTTAGACTGTTTCTGATTTTGATTGTAGATTTTTAAAAAATTCTTCAAAAAACACTTTTAAGGAGATTTATCAAATACTAAAATCAGCTTCTACTACAAGCAGAAGTTGATTTTAAGAGGAAAAAGTAATACCAAACTAAGTCATAATCTGCAACATTACACTGTTGGCATGAAGGACACAACCCCTGGAAACAAAGATAATGAAAAGCCGAGATCAAAGAGCACCGTGAACAAGTTCCCAACTCTTGGTAAACTGTGAAACATCACAAGCGCAGAGCTCGCAGAAAAGTGCATCAATCTCTACTGCGGGACATCGTAAGTAGACGCCTTGAATCCATTTGAGTTTCAAGTAAGGAAATAGCCTCTGCTAAGGAGAGAGATGAAGAAACAGCCATGGCAATAGTGAGTTTGTAGGTGCCTGCAAGAGGAGCGTCCAAACCAGTGTTTTGACAAAGACCCATTATGCTGTTTGACATGATTAATAGGATGAATGTGGGACTGGTGTACTCTCATCCAAGCACCAAGAAGCAATGGATATTGGATTTAAGTATAATTAAGAATTATATTCCTTTCATTCCAAGTGCTCCATATATACAAAAGAAATAGGTTCAGGTCTTGAACCGAACGTTTCTTACCAAAATGAAGAGTTTGCGATAAGAATGGTTTTTTTTTTCTTTGGTAAATGTGCTAGGAATGGTTGAAGACTATAAAATATTAGTTTGAAGTTTCAAGGGAAAAGGTTGAAAGTCCATAATAATTATGTCTCAAAAGAGACAAGTCTTTGGATATGTTCAACCTAAAACTATCTCATGCTATAGTCCGTTTGGTAGAGGGATTCGTTCCCTGATTTGAATTATAATTCATGGTTCGTTATAGTATTTTCTCTCACAAAAATTTCACGTAAATCGAAAATAGTTTAAATCACATGGTTTAAATCCTCCAACCAAACGTCAGTTGAAGTTTCAAGGGAAAAGGTTGAAAGTCCATAATAATTATGTCTCAAAAGAGACAAGTCTTTGGATATGTTCAACCTAAAACTATCTCATGCTAATTGCTATCACAATGAAAAGTGGCGAATGGTGTTGCAGACCCAGATAAGAAGGCCATGTCAAAGTAACAACTCATCTTAAAGCGCTTCTCTCTAACAAGGGTATAAGAAGATAAGAAACCGGCACTAGCATCAGATTGTTTGCCAAGTCTTGAACGTCTTCAACTCTCTCCAACGTTAAAATAAATAGTACAAAATTTAGAGAATGGAAATAAATAACATAATTTTAGTAAATGCACATTTACTACTTTATAAATATCAAGAATATCCTTAAACTATCAAAATTATAAAATTTATTATTCAAAAAATTAGTAGGGTCAAATATAATCGTTCAAAACTTTTAAGGTTGTAATAGTTTTTATATAAATATTAAATTCAAATTTTGGCCCCTAATTCTTTTAAAAAAGTTTATTTTGACCACTCATTATTCAAAAAATTATAATTTGACCTTCTCAATTTTTAAAAAGTTAGAATTTGACCTCTTATTTTTAAAATAATTATAAATAATTCCTTAATTTTTAAAAAATATAATTTAATCCCTTTTTTAAAAAAAGATTACAAATTGACCCAACATATTTAAAAAAAATTTACAAAAACATTAATATTAGTTGGTAAATGATGCATTTAATGAATAAATTTGACATTTACTGCATAAACTATAACTATTGGTTAGTAAATAAAGAAATTACAATACTTTAATGGTAGATTTTTTATTTACTAAAATCACATTTTTTTGGCTTGTAAATAAAGAATTTACCGAGTAAATTCATCATTTACCGCACTTTTACTTGGTAAAAAAAGATTTACCTAGCAAACTTGTTATTTGTCAAATAAACTAAACTATTGACTTGTAAATAAGGGACCACAAGAATTACTTGTAAATAATGGATTTACCTTGTAAATTCTTCATTTACTAGGGGTGTATATACAAAAAAAAAAAAAAAAACTTTTAAAGTTTGAGTTAAAATGTAATTTTTTTAAAAAAAAAAAATTTAAGGGGTCACAATATAAATTTTTAAAATTTTAGGGGTTAAAATATAATTTTTAAAATTTTAAGGGGTCAAAATATAAATTTATAAAATTAAGAGGTCAAAATATAATTTTCTAAAAGTTAATGTTTTGTAAATGAAGCATTTATCTGGTAAATACATTTACCACATAAATATTATATAAGGGTAAAATTGCAATACCATGTATTGAAATTTTAAATTATGTTATTTATTTTTACTATTTTAAATTATGTTGTTTCCTACAAATGGTCTAACAAAATGGGTTATGTGCTACAATTTCCCATTCCCATGAAAGCTCAATCTACTTAAATAATATTTTCTTTTTTAATAACTTAGGAGCTTAATAGAAATTTCTAAACATGAGAGGACCAAAATTGAATTAAAAATATTAAAATGATATTCTCTCATTTTAGAGGCATATCCATCATTAATAACATCAATCAAGTGGAATCACATAACCTGCCCATTAACTGTCTTTTTTCCTAATAGATGGAGGTTCAAATCATAGATCTCAACATTATAGGTCAACATGGTTAGTTACCAGAATGCAATACATCTCAAAATCTTCTCAAGAATTTTATGGCCAAATGTGTTTTGGAAAACAACACTAAACTAATATTCTACCAAAACAAAAAAAAAAAAAGCACTAAACTACTACTGCGGTGAAGGTAGATTTTAAATTAGCCCACACAGTGTTAGAAAAATGCCATCTCATTAGGTAGGTCAGAAATGCGTGCGTGACCAAAAATGAGATGTGTGATTACAAATGCTTATTTCATTCAATCGGCTGCCTATTTGACTAATCTTTGCAAAGTTGGTAGAGGGTGGAAGGTATGCAAAGTTGGGAGACTAAGACGCTTCATTAAGTCTTCGCTATAATTATGATTATAGCATCTATATGGCATTTGAATGCTTAATATGAGAATTTCCCACTTTCCCTCCCTTTCAAACTATTTGATTTGTTAACCGTAAGATTAGGTGGTATGCCAATTTTAAATTTTGACCATTGCTTCAAAGTTTAGATTATAATTTTTCTTGATAAGCAACAGAACAACTCCTTAATTAAGTCTAGAAGTTGGAATAATTTCATAATTTATCAAGCATAAGATTAGGTGGTATGCAAAGTACTTTAGACAATAATTACTCTGTCTAAAAAAACATGTTACAAAATAAAGCAACAGAAAATAATCATGGCCTAATTCTTTAATAATTAATGAATATAAAATAACAAGTAGGATTTCCTAGTCAAAATAACACTTGGCTTCCATTCTTTTCACTAAATAGCTACCACTATATATTCCTCAACAACTGCAGGTTGTGAGTTTGCTTCATCCACCAACATCATCTTTGCTTTTTTAACATCTTGCCCAATTTTCTTTCTGCAATACTCGTACATATGAATTGAACTGTGTTAGATTTATAGTCTCGCATCTTAAGAAGCAATTTCAAGATTAGAAATGATAAAAGAAAATCTGAATGACCCTTAAATT